TATATATTTATATTATATATATATATATATATTTTTTTTATAATTTTGTTTGTTTCATCTTCAATAATTAACCTCTGGTTTGTACCAACTTGACGCCACGCAGGGCGTAATATTATAACCTTTTTTTTTTATTCTTTTAACTATCGCACGTACACCCAGAAGATACAAATTACACGTTCCTCGAATTAAAAAATAAAAAAAAACAAGAAGAATTAACATAAATTATGAAATTTGTTAATATAACATATTATATGTACGCGTTCGAGAGAATTAATTTTCGTAGTCTGTGGTTAAAATTTTCAAGATAGAATGAAAATACATAAAAGTGTTATATGTTTTTTAAACTGAACTACAGTATTTAAAACAAATAATACTATTATATTCATATTTAACGCAGATATAATATGTATATAATTTTATCTGCAAAATTAAAATGTAATACTGAAGCATTGAAATCTCTTCTTTTTTTCTCACAGACAACGATTAATTATTAATTATCAAAATATATTTTCACGACACGACTTTGAAGATATTTTATTTGATATCTTGTTTATCGTCATTGGGACGGGTGGTGGAGGGGTTGGGGGCAGGGGTGGGGTTGGGCAAATAAAATAAAATAACAAAAGATAAAATAAAATAAAATAAAAAAAGAAAAGAAAAGAAAAAGAAGATCCTGACTCGACGTTTGAAAACTCGAATTCTTCGCACATTAGTCCCTCGATCATCAAATCTCGCGTGTTTTTATTTTTCTTTCGTGATAAAAGGAAGCTTATTTGAAAGTTCTTTGTTTGAAATGTTTTTTTTCTTGGTGGTCCTCCCTATCACCGACGATATCAAATTCTGGTTCTGATCGAGGACGAAGAGACTCGTGCCTACGAGGACGAGGTCGACGTCGAGGACCACCACGGTCACTGTAGCCTTGGTGACCAATATTGCGCCGCCATATCTGGTGCTGGTTGGCCTGGTACTGCGATCGGTACGCTCACACCCGGTGATATTAGACCTGGACAATATGTTGATTGTATTTGTATTATTGGCTGTATTGGAATCGTTTGGAAATTAATGTTATTATGTTAGAGATAGATGATACATTTAGGATTATCTACGATTTATGCGAAATGTATCTAAATAGTTATTTAGAATATAATACAGCACCAAAATAAATACATGCATTAAATCATGCGTTGCTTGTTAAATTTACTGATACATAGGAAATGGAAAGAAAGAGAGTGAGAAAGAGAGTGAGAAAGAGTGATGTTGCGGTGATTATTTGGAGAAATGAATGCACGGTAAGAGATCTCTTGTAAAACGTTGTGATATATATATATATATCATATTTATAATCTTAACACATTATTAATCGTTTATTATACGCAAAAATTTGGCTCGCATCTCGTAATGGATATATTAATAATTTAATTACTAATTTAAAAAAATTAAACAATTTACTTTGTATGTGTGCAACAATTAAATTATAATATTGAAAATAAGTAATAACATATACAGAATTGAAGTATAAACACTATCCAAAATATAATATTATAATTAATTAATTTCTGAAGTGTTAGTTGTGTGTATATTTAAAAATCAATATATACGTGATCGGTTAAGAATATGTTAAAAATAAATAGTGAAGTGAAGAAATTCACGTTAGATGCAAAAGCGAGATTCAGTTCCATTACCGGCAGGCTCGATAGCGTGTTATCCGTGGTAGCCATAGTAGTAGTCCATCGGCTAAAGCGCAAGCAGCGAGTGCAGTGAGTGCGGTAGACACTCACCGGTCGAGCTGGCGTTCTGATTGTACTGATTAAGGCCCGCGGTGTGGTAAGGCTGGGTCGGACTGCAGGTTGGCCTCGCACCGTATCCCAAATGAAGTGGTTCGTAGCTCGGTGGTCGTGCCACGCCACAAGAGTAACCATTGTCACGTTGTTGAAGGCACGCGCCTGGACTAGGGCCTACAGTCATGCCAACCGTCATACCCATTGGGCCCATCCCACCTCCCGATAGCGAGCCTGATAACGAACCCGAAAGAGAGCCTGATAATGAAGACATGCTGCTCGTCGTGTGTTGATTCTGTTGACTACCACCTGACATCGTGAAGCTTGGCATTGATGTCATGGGACTGTGTGGAACAAACAAACAAATTAATTATTTAATAAAAGGTTGAATTATTATAGCCGACAAATAAATAGTGTGTTTAACCTGAACAAATAATTTCTATTATACATATATCTAATTACTTTTCCTACCTGTACGAATCCGGCATACTAGGTATTCCTGGATAAACAGCGGTAGGTGCAAATCCATGGTGTATTCTGGGTGGCGACGGTGGTGCTTGCGGTGGTGCCTGTCCACCAAGTATTCCAGTAGGTGGAGGTGGCGTAGGATGACCACCACCCACCAGGCTAACACCTGCCGTATGGGATTGTTGCTGTTGTTGCTGAGGTTGTGGTTGTTGTTGCTGTTGCTGCTGTTGCTGTTGTTGCTGTTGTTGTTGTTGTTGTTGCTGCTGCTGCGGGTTGTCCCTCCGTTGCGTACGCAATTTCTCCTCTCGTCTCCACTTTGCCCGCCGATTCGAAAACCATACCTGAGTTAGTGAATGAGAAGACAGACGAAGATACAGGTCAATCGCTAGGCTACACAAATGCGGAACGACGAATTCGAATTCGTGGAATGATCAAAATCACGATTTTTAAATCTCTATACTTTTGATACAGAAATTATTTAGCATTTTTCAAACTTTAGTACCCTAAAAAAARAAAAAAAAAAAAAAAAGAAATACACAAAAAACAAACACACACGCACATTAACACGTATACATACGACATTAATAAAATAAAATCAAGGAAATAAAATAATAGATATCGTAGTCACCTGTATTCGAGCTTCCGGTAGGCCAATCTTCCCAGCCAGTCGTTCCCTCGCAAACACGTCCGGATAATGCGTCCTCTCGAATTCTTTTTCAAGGGCGTCGATCTGCTCGTTGCTGAAACTCGTACGATTTCTTTGAAGTTTTCTTTTCAGTCGTAAACGAGCTTGATCGTCGTCGGCACCACCGGATACGCTACCAGCGTTACTGTTATCACCACCGCTGTTTGTTTCATCGGAATGGGTACCACCTTCGATATCAGCCACTGAAATACCAAACATACCAAACATTAGATAATAAACACCAAAATAAATCTATAAAGAATATTATAGTATTAACAAAATTTTTATTCCAATATTTTCTTACATATCGATGATATCAGTAAAAACAAATTAAATTCCACATCAATATGATTATATCATTGAATATTTACAAAGTTAATCTAAATCATTTCTTTTTCATCGTTTCACTTCTTTTTTTCATAATCGATCACAAGAGTTAGGTGAATACCTATATATATATATACATATATATATAAAAAATGCAAAATCATAGGATCGATCTTATTGGAACTGGTACTTTAAGCTATCTAAAAAAAAAATAAAAAAAAAACATGTTTTCTTGCGAGAAAGCGAACGAACGAACGAGAACGTTCGAACGTTCGAACGGGTTTTCCCTTCATCCCTTTTCCTCCTATCAAGCATGCCTTTAAACGTGTGAGTTAGTCTCGTATGCTTCTCTCTCTCTCTTTTTCTCTCTCTCTCTCTATCTCAGTAACTATCTATCTCTCTCTTATGTGAAACGAGTAGTAGGTGGTAGGCAGAGTCAGGCAAGCAAGCAAGCAAGCATCTCCCAGCGAAGCTTATCGTCGGTTTCTGGGTGAACGCGTCGAGGCGTCACTGGATTTTGGTTTGCTAGTGGAAGAGAAAGAGAAAGAGAGAGAGAGAGAAAAGAGGCGGAGAGGAAGAGGGGGAGGAGGGTGTCATGCGATAAGACGCCGGCCGTCCCGACGCCAGTCGCTGGCCACCCTCGTACGATACGCCCCTGTCACCCTCGAAGGACCACCCTCTTTCTCTTTCTCTCTCTTTCTCTCTCTCTATCTCTCTCTCTCTCTCTCTCTATCGTTTACCTTTATTTCTCGCTACTCTCGCTATATCTATCTTTCTCCCACGTTTCCTACAACGTTCTATGATTCCATCTCTCTCTCTCTCTCTTTCTCTCTCTCTCTCTTTTGCTATCTTTCTCTCTGTCCCTGTACGAAACTGACGTTTCTCTCTCTCTCTTTTCTCGTGTCGTTACCTTCTTCGTGCCTTCGGTGTTAATGGAATCCTGATAACAACCCTCGTGACTCTACCCTTCTACCCTCCTCTTCTTCCTCTTTCTTTTTTTCTTTTTCTATCTTTTTATCTATCTACCTATCTATCTATCTATCTATCTATCTAACTATCTTTATCTGTCATCCCTTTTTTTCTTCGTCTATCGCACGTTGCTATTTCCAAGTCGAACCGACGAGACCTACGTGTCTATACATGACAAACCCTTCTTACTCTCCAACCCCCTCCTTTTCTCCTCCCCCTTCTCTGTCTCTTTCCTTCTTTCTTTCTTTCTTTTTTTCTTTTTTTAGTTATCTTGCCCGTTCATCGTTCGACATCCGTCGACTGACTGTATTATTTTATTATCGAGAAAATCGCGTAGTTTCACTTTCGTTCTTCGAGACTGGATGGCACGATCCTCGAAGAAGTTTTCAAGAACATTAGATAGTAGGTAGGTAGGTAAGGTGATGTTTCTTCGAACGTGTTTTGTGAGTTTAGTTTTAGTTTTAGTTTTAGTTTCTATTTAAGTAGACTCTTGTGAATTGTTCAAAGTTACATACATTTATTATTCGCGATGTGAAATACCACGAAGAATTTATTCAATTATTTTGTTCTTCGTATTTCAACAACAACAATAAGAATAACAACAATTTTCCAACTTAAAATCTATGAAATAGATTTATGTTTTTTTTTTCTGTTCTTTTTCAAAGAACAATACGAATTAAGTTAATAACAATTAAAGAATTTAAAGTTCTTCGAATCTATTTTAATTACTTCCTTTTTATTATACGTTCATTTACTTTACGGGAACGTTCAAGATTATATCAAGAGATAGTTCAATTACTTTGAATGAAATATATTATATTTTAAAATATAATCAAGTTACAAATAATTCATGAATAGATTTTTATTTTAACCAATTATCTATCTCTGTATCATTCAAAAAATATATACGACTTAAAATTCAACGAAGAATTCATTGAAGAATAAGGTAAAAACTTAGGCGCGAATAATAATTGCAAAAATTATTCTTCAACTTTTTAATTATTATAATACCTTCCCCTCTCTTTCTTTCTTTTTTTCTTTCTTACGTGTAACTTCGTGTATAAAAATGTTCGCGTTTAGGAATACGAGGACGCGTGCGCAACTGAAGGTAGCTTTTCCACCCTTTATATCGGTCGTCGTTTAACAGTCTTAGAGAAGGAGAAGAAGAAGAAGAAGAAGAAGAAGGAAGAGAGAGAACATTCCCGTTCGTTCGTTCGTTCGTTCGTTCAAAGTTCGCCATAGCCAACCAACCCTTAGAGATCGGCGAGAAGTTTATTGGTAGGAGAGTGGCTGCCTGCCAGCCAGTTTCTTCAAGGGACTAGAAACGTCTCTCCCATCTGGGTTCTACCTCTTATCTTTACTTATCCCTTTTATATATAACACATTGTGACTTTCAGTCAAACCTATCACACATATCTTTATATATATATATATTTTATATGTATTCTACATAATATATTTATCGTACGTAACTATATATATATATACGTTTAGGAAGATAAGGGTTTAATAATATTAAATTATGTTTCATGAGATTTTATCATTTTTTTTTCTTTTTTACGTTCATAATATTCTTTTACAGTTGGTATACTCATTGTCAATTTTAAAAGAAAATGATTGGAATGAACATTTATTGACTGAAACTATTTAAAAACAATTTGTTCTAGTAGTAGCATGGAAAATGTATTCGATTGAAAACACTTGATGAATTAATTGACAGGATATTTAAGTTTGAAACGCATAATTAATATTTTTACAATAATTTCAACGGTGATATCTTTGATAATTCGATAGGTTTTTTCTTTTTCATACCTTTTGAAGAAATATCTTATCGAAAGACAGAGAAAGAAAAAAAGAGAAGAAATATAATATAATATAATATAATATATTCTCCCCCTCGCGTCGTTAACGTTAAACGGTTGAAAGGGAAAGGTCTACGTGGAAAAAGAAAAGGACAGAAAAAAAAGAAATAAAATGTTTGAACAGGTAAAAGAAAAGAAAAGTAGAAGAAGAAGAAGAAGAAGTATGGAAACCATGGTACTTTTTTTTTTCTTTTTTTAAAGGGAAATGTAAAAAGAAAAAAAAAAAGAGGGAGAGAGAAGGAAAGCGAGAAAGGAAGGAAGAAAAAAGAAAGAAAAAGAAAAAAAAAAAAAAAGAAAAAAGAAAGAAATGACTGGGGTGCGAAGCGTCCTCGAGTAATGGCTGCGGCACACGAGTGGGGTGAGCTTTATTAACGCCGATAATGGGCGCCAGTGCACTTAGCTAAACGTTAAATCTCGCCAACGAAGTAGGAAGGTTGGTTATTGTCCTACCTTCTGGGTTCGATAGCTAGGACAATGCATTCTAAGTCTTGAAGTTCTTTAAGTACTAGTAGTTTATTTTCGATCACCGAACGTGAAATACACAGAGAATCCAACCGGGGTACTAGTAAGTAATCCCTACATATATATATATATACATACATTTATATATATATAAATGTATATGTATATGTATGTATATATATATATATATAAAAAGTTCAAAGAGGAGAATCGAACGAGAAGAAACGACGACTACGACGACGACGACGAGGAGGAGGAACGAACGAAAGGTATGAACAAATAAAAAAAGAAAGAAAGAAAGAAAGAAAAAAAAAAAAGAGAAACCTGAAACTACTTGAATCCTTCTCTTTTTTTTTCTTCACTCAACTTCGACTTCGCTTCAATTTCTTTTTTGTAACACACGCGAGTAACACTTGAACGAACGAATGAACGAACGAACGAACGATTGGAACGAGCAACTATAGTCCCCTTTTCTTTCTTTCTTTTTTTTAAGTATGCTACAGGCAATAGGAAACAATGCTACCCTTGGGTAGTATGATGCAACAATAACGCGTTTAATGTGTGCCTAGAAATGGTCTACCGAGTGCATTCGTGCGAGATCAATTTCTCTAATCGTAACGTTGATCCTAACCAAAAGAGAGAAACCTACTTTGCCCTTTTTTTTTCGTTTCTTTCTTTTCTTTTCTGTTTTTTCTTTTTTTTTTTTTTTTTTTTCAAAGACCTTACGAAAAGTGGCGAACGTTTGCAATCGTTGAAGAGAACACACGCGCGCGTACACGTATATCATACCACGTGTATGCGAGTAACACGCGACAGGCTTATTATTCGAGCGTTATTAATACAATTGACTTTTTATTTTATTTTCTTTTTTTCGATCCTCCTCCTCCTCCTTCTCTCTTCCTCCTTCCTCCTCCTTTGAATTCTTCAGTTACGATTTTTATTTCTTTCTTTTTGTTTCTTTTATTTTACAAGTAAAAACCTTGTTTGTTATTTCAATACACGAAGTCGAGATTATTTTTAATGGTTCGTTGCTCGAATTATTCGAAACGAGGTGGAATCACGTTTCATTGGTTACACGTGCCACGATGAATTTTATTTAAGAGAGAGAGAGAGAGAGAGAGTGAAAGGGAAGAAACAAAATTATTATATATTTTCCATACAACGTACATTTCTAATAAGTTTCGTTAGAATTTTATTTAAAAGATAAATGTACGGTAACTTAAATTAACAAAAATAAAATGAATTCAAATATCTGAAGATTGGATATTTTTTTTTTACAGGTAATTATAAACATTAGTAACTGCGATATCATCGATGATTCATAAATTAATCTCAAATAATATGAATGCAAGCCCAAAAAAAGAAAAAAAAAAGGTAATAATAAATATTCAGAGAAGTCAAGATAAAATTATAAGAATTACAATAAGATCATGTTACGCGTATACAGTGGACAGATGTAATATTATACCAAATCAAATTGAAGATAATGGCTGACAATGATACAGATGTTAAGCGTTACTGGGATATATATGTGTTCATCGAAGTGGCACGAGTATCGTGTAAAGTCCGTCTGTCGCGTTGTAAGAATAATTCTCGTTTTCGGCCATGTCAGGATTGTCGTTATTAGGGTTG